CCTACATCTAACATTATACTCAAGGGTGAAGACTGAATGCTTTCATCCTAAGACTGGAAACAAGTCCAGAATGTTTTCTCTTACCTCATTTATTAATCCTAGCCAGTGAAATAAGGCAAGAAAGGAAAACGAAAGACCTGCTGTGGAAAACCCTTTGGCATAGAATTATCATATGACCCACAATTTCACTCCTAGACATGCTCAAAAGAATTGAAAACAGGTGCTCAAAAAAACTATATGTACTCATATGTTCACAGCAGCACTATTCACAGTAGTCAAATGCTGGGAAAAAGGCCCAAATATCCACCAAGGATGAATGGATAAACCAGTTATGGTATACACACAAAGTAGAATCTTATTCAGCCATAAAAATGAATGAAATACTGATACATGTATGCTACAGTGTGGGTAAACCTTGAAAGCATCATGCTAAGTGAAACAAACTGGTCACAAAAGACCACATATTGTATGATTCTGTTTATTTGAAATGTCCAATTAAGCAAATCTATAAAAAAAAGTAAATTAATGGTTGCCTAGGGCTGTTATAGAAGAGAGGCTGGCTACAAGCTGCCCCCCAACTCAGAGACCTCCTCCTGGTTAAGGGGAAAACTCAAATCTGCCCTCTTATGTGAGGGGCTATCAGATGACCCTGGCTTCACGGAGGCACGTGAACTCATTGAGGAAATTCAGACTGCGCTTTGGCAGGGAAGGCACAGAGAGTGTGACTGTCACTCTGCCAAAACACAGGGAGAATGGAGGTTACTGCGGAAGGGTATGGGGTTTCTTTTTGGGTAATGAAAATGTTCTCAAATTGATTGTAATGATGGTTGTACAACTCTGTGAATGTACTAAAAGCCATCGAATTGTACACTTTAAATGGGTAAATTGTATGGCATGTGAATTATATTTCAATAAAGCTGTTTTTAGAAGAAAAGAAAACATGGCCCTTGGGTGCATCCTATTGGGCAGTGAGATTAACATGTACTGAAGAGTAGACACATAAGACTGTGTGAAGTACCGAGACAGGGAATACAAACCAGGAGTGTTGTTGAAATTCAGAGAAAGGAGGTTAGACTTAGGCTGGGATGGTCAAAGAAGGCTTCCCAGAATAGATTCCTCTGGATAAGGCCATCAAAGAGTGGGAGGGAAACGGGGAGTACATTTTAGGCCATAAGGGAGAAGAACTTTAAGAAGAGCCACACTGTCATTATTGTCCCTCTCTGTCTCGTTATGGTCCCTTATGTGCCTCCAGCATCTAACACAGGGCCTGGCGCATAGTAAGCCCTCAGTAAGTAGGATGGGCGTATGAATCTTGAGGTTTCCCTTGGTTTCTTATGGTCCTAGGGGAGGTTGGGTGGCCTTACTTCTTTTGAAGGAGAATTGCTGGGTCAGAGAATCCACAAGCTTCTTGCAATGATGTTTCCTTTATTCCTGAGCTGGAAATGGTCACAAGGAGGAAGGTTTGAGGAAGGTTTGAGGAAGGGGCCCCAAAGCTGAAGTTGCTGGCAACTCTACCTTCTCAGAAGGGAGAGGAGTCAGCCTCTAAGGTTACAGATGTGCCCCAGCTGGGCTCGGGGCCCGCCCTCCTTCTTTCCAGTGTTTATTGCTGCTGAGCCCTGCCCAAGGAGAGCTGCCGAATCAGCTTTCTCTGGCTGAGGCTGAATCTTGGAGCCGAGCTGGCCTGTATCTCTCACACCATCCACCCCTTAGATAAACACCCTGGCGTCCTCCACACACTGTGGAGTTCTGACATGGTTGCAAAGGGCTCCATTGGCCAAATGCCTCTTGCTCCAACAGGGACCCTGGCAATGGGCCCTGCTTTGGCTCCAGCCTGAGTCAGGCCCTTGCTAGAGGGACAGGAGAATCCACTTCTGGCCTGAAAAGATGGCCGCAGCAGAACTCTCTGCTAGGCAGAGCCTTCTGTCCTCACTGCCCATGCACCCAGATTTCCTCTTCACGGAAGGCCTGGTCACGCGAATTCATGAGACAGCCCCCTCAGGCTTTCAAATGGTTGCTTTATTGCACCCAGCCCTTCAAATTGGGCACCGACCAAGTCACAGAACCCGCTTTGCAGCCAGCCTCCTCCCTGGGTAGGGTGGCATTTGGATTGTAGATCAAACATGGCCCCAGATGTTTATTCCACCATCCAGTCTGCCATGTTGTGGAGCCAAGATGCTGAACTGTGCAGCTTCAGAGTCCCCCCGCCACGGCCAACACCATGCAGAGTAAACTCAGCGGGGCCGCCTTTATTTGGTGTTCGGTAGTCTGAGCCCGTGAGGGGGTGGGGGATGCTTTCTTTGAAAGGTGACCTGTGGGCAGAGAAAATGTCACCAGCAGCTGGTGAGCTCTGTTTCCTTTTCCTGTGGCCAATGGGCCGTGGGGATGACGGGAAGGGCCGACACTGAGGGTCTGCTGGCTTAGCCATGGTGGCAGGATTAAGTGACAGGTGTGGCTGGCTCAACATCCGGAGGGTGGGTAGAGCGGACCAGGCCAACTGGGGGCTCAGGCTCTGGAGAGGACCTTTTGACCCAGCACTTGGCAGATGGGGTTGTCTTGGCTGCAGAGGGACCCAGACTAGGCCAGAGGTAGGGAAGAGGGACATCTGTTATAGAAGGAGAAGGAGCGGGAGAGAGGCTGGCTACAAGATGCCCCTCTACTCAGAGACCTCCTCCTGTTTAGGGGGAAAACTCAAATCTGCCCTCTTATTTGAGGGGCTATCAGACGACCCTGGCTTCCTGGAGGCACATGAACCCACTGAGGAAATTCAGACTGCCCTTTGGCAGGGTAGGCATAGAGACTGTGACTGTCACTCTGCCAAAACACAGCTGGCTTCACCTCCTCCAGGAAGTCTTCTCTAACTTCTTTTTTCGGCTCCTGATCATTTGTCCTCTTCATTCCCCATCACACCAGAGTCTGTCTGCTTGTTTGTCTATCTCTCTCACCAGATCAAAGGTTTTACAGACTTTTACAGTGAACACGAATTACTTATGTAATACAGAAAAAAAATTTACAAAAATAGAATATGAATGAGGAAAGGTGAAAATAGGTGTTCTACTTTTTGCTGGTACTTAATTTTTTTTTTTTAAATCCTAACTACAAGTTATGGTCTCACAGCCCAGTGATCAAATTTACACCTACCGGGCAATTACTGTATGCTTGAGAGATGGATTTACAACATTAGGGTTTGGAAACTCATGAGCCAGCTTTTGTTAAATTCCAGGGAAGTGAAAGTTAATGATGAGGCAGTCTCTGTCTTGTTTTGAGCGGAATCCACCAATGACCCACCCTTCATCTGTGGGCACTAAATAGCCTGTGTATGTTGGGTAATGACTGTACAAAAGAGAATCCTAAAATCATGTGTTAGAGCTGTATGGATGGATGGAGATGGAGATATATAGATATAGACATACCTCCAATGCTAACGCCTTGGTCCAAGCAATCATCCATAGGCTCTACATTGGTCTCCCTGCTTCCACTCTATGGCCCATTCACTACCCTGTAGCTAGAGCCATACTTTAAAAACATGAATTGGATCATCTCTGTCTTCTGCACAAAACCTTACAGGGATTTCCCTCTCAGTCAGGATTAACCCGACGTCCTCACCTTGGCCTCCAAGACCCTCCATGGTCTGGCCCGTCCTGCCTCTTGGATCTCATTGTCTATCCCTGTTCCCCTCATTCCCTCTACTCCAGCTGCACTGGCCTTTCCAGGCTCTTTGCACTTCTTGTTCCCCATGCCTGGAACATCCTCCTCCTCCAGTGTCCAAATGGCTTGCTTCCTCACCTTCTGTGGTCTCAGCTGAGTTGCCATCTTATTATTGGTAGGGTCTTCCTCACCACCCTATATAAAATAATGACCTTTGTCCTACTCCAACACCTTATCCTACTTCATTTTTGTCATAGCACTTACCCTCTCCTGCCGACATATTACATATTTATTTGTTTATTGTTTGTCTCCCTCCACTAAAATGTAAGCTCAGTGAGGGCAAGGACTTTGTTTCTTTTCTTTGCTGCCGTATCCTTAGTGCCCGGTACTCTAAGTAGGTACTCAATAAATACTTGAATGAATGAATGAATGGGTGAATGAACAAATTAATGGATGGATGGACGGATGGACGGACGGACTGCAGATATCATGGGACTGATCTTCCTCAATTTATCTGTGGGCCCCACCTGATGGATGTTAAAACGCCTCGCCCGCAGTCATGCAGCCAAGGCAGTAGGAACAGATCCCGGCTCTCCCCACTCCTGCCCCAGCTCCTGCCTGTGCCTTGGAAGGGAGCTGAACTACCCGCACAGGGGCCCCTGGCCTCGTCCATCCTGTCTTCTGTGTGTTTTTCCAGTTTATCCAGCATTTCAGCTCAGAATAGCAGAAGAAAAAGCAGTTGTTTCTCCAGACCCTTGGAAACTCTTCCAGTGGGTCTGTCCCTGGAAAAACAGCAGCAATCTCAGGGTGGGAAGATAGGAAACGGAGGAGGGGGTCTTCCAGCAGTGGAGGCAATGGGATGGACTTGGCTTTGCAATTAAAATAACATCTGGGTCTGTTTCCGCAAAGCAATTCTGGAAGGTGGGTGGTCTGTCTGAAGTATCAGATAGGCCTTCCCCTGTCCTGTCCCAAGAGGATTTGGGAGGGTGGGTGGCTGAAGGGCTCACCCCAGCAGTATGAAAGAAAGCAGTCCCACAGAAGCCTCTGGAAACCCCACCTGCAGCCTGGTCTGGAAGCCTGCTAGGCCCTCCCCCAGCCATGCTCGGGGCATCTCCTGATACCTCTTACACCCCCGACCCCTCCTGCGGATAGTTCAGACATTCCTTTGATGCACAGAGAGCTTCTGGCCTCCCTCTTAGGCCCCGTGTGGTTTGTTAATCGTCTGTGAAATGAGGGATTTGAGGCATCACTCATCCGTGTGATGACAGTGGGGCCCTGAGCAGTGCCCTGTGGTGGGGAGGGGCTGCTGAGGGACAGCGCTTCAGTCTCTGAACCCTCTCTGTTTGGCTTCTCAGATGCAGCTTCTGGATAAATTTCCCATCGAAGGTGGTCAGAAGGACCCTAAGCAGAGGATCATCCCCTTCCTCCCAGGTAAGCTGGGGAGGGGCATTCCTTAGAAAAGGCTGGCTACTAAGCCAGAAATTCTGGATGAGGATGGGCCTAGGAATCTGCATTTTAACAAGTTCCCCCAGGGGATTCAGAAGCCCCCGGTTTTGGAGGCCACTATCCTCAAAGTGGCTTTTCACACTTTTCTAGACCCATCTCTGCTGGCCCCTGGCCATGTAACTTCTGGGGAGTTTCTCAGACTGTCAAAATATGGTTTCCCTTTTACAAAAAGCACAGAGACCAAGTTCTCCTGTGAAAAGATGAAGAACTTAGGGAGTAAGACTGGGCTGTTTCTACTGGCTCCCGTTTTGATCATGTTGTTGTTGTATGCCAACCATCAAGTCACTTCCAATTCATAGCGACCCTATAGGACAGAGTAGAACTGCCCCATAGGGTTTCCTAGAGCCCTGGTAGCACAGTGGTTAAGAGCTCGGCTGCTAACCAAAAGGTCAGCAGTTCGAATCCACCAGCTGCTCCTTGGAAACCATATGGGGCAGTTCTCTTCTGTCCTATAAAGTCGCTATGAGCCGGAATTGACTCTACAGCAATGTATATAGTATATATAGTATATAATCTTTACCGAAGCAGATTGCCAGGTCTTTTCTCCTGCAGAGTGGCTGGTGGGTTCAAACCGCTGACCTTTCGGTTAGCAGCCAAGCACTTAACCATTGCAACATCAGGGATCCTGATCAGAGAGAACCTTAACTGAGCATACTTCCTGTGGGTAATCTCCTCTAATCCTTAAGTCACCGTTTTACAGAGGAGGCAGCTGAGGCTCAGAGAGTTTATATAACACAGCTGGTTGGATTTGAACCCGTCTCTGTCTGGCTATTGACTGTTACACCTTTTGGAACATATTTATAGCAATTGATTATGTTGTGTAATTTAGAGGAAAACTTCTCAGGTATATCCTAACATGCTATTACTGTGATGTCTTACATTTGTGGAGAGAGTCATAATTTACAAAGTGCTTTTTGTTATAGTATACAAATCTTCATGCTGAGGTGTGTATTATAATATCCCCTTGAGGGATAAAGATGTTGGAGTTCAGAGAGGTTAAGTAACTTGCCCAAGGGCACCCAGTTAAAATCGGCAGAGCTGAGGCATGAGCCCAGGCCTCCTGTTCCAAATCTGGACTCTTTGCCCTGAACCATGTGGCCATGCTGCCTCCTGGCTCTCTGCATCCCCTGCCTTTCCCCAAGGTGGGGGGCCAGGCTGCCTCCTGGGGAGAGCTCCCTTCCACAGCGGGCTTCTGCTTTATGAACCTACTTTACCCTGGTGACTCCTGGCCCCTGGCCTTCCATAGACCAGCCTCCAAGACAAGGGCAACCAGCAGGACCTTTGCAAGAAGCAGGTCTGCATCCCATTAGTCCCTGGCACACTGCCAGCCCATGGTCTGTACGTGCTAATTGACTCGAAAGGAAGCCTAGGAGCACCTTCCTGGTGGTTCTTGTCTGAAAGGTGGCCCTCACACATCTCCCCATCCTCAGAAGGAATGAAACATAAGAGCATATATTGCTGTCTGTCTTCAGAGTCTATGCTGAAGTTAGAGAGAATTAATTTAGCTACAACTTCCAGATCCCACGGTTTGGGCAAGACCAGAGCTAGTCAGTGAGGAGCTTGGGGAGGCTCATTCCCTGTGTTCCTTTCCTGGGGGCAGAGGATTGCCTCTCCTTTCCTGGGCTAGGAGGGAATGTAAGATGTCTTTAGTACCTTGCTTGGCTTTGCACCGGGTCTTGAGGGAATTTGTAACATCCAACATCCTTAGATGTTTGTAATACGCTTAGATGTTGCTCCAGTACAGTCCCATGATCTACCTGAGGGCCTGGGAGTCCAGCTGGGATGCCATGGACCAAGTGTCCCAGAGCCAACATGAGGCCCGATGGTGCCCTGTTGCAAGCGGTGGACTTGGCCTGGGGGTGTGTGGGCTACCTGTTTGCTCAAGAAGAACGACTCCCTTCTCCTACTCTTATTCAGCGCCCCAGCAAAAGAGCACCTTGTTATCAGCCAATCAGTGGGTGTTTATGAGGGGCTTGACCTGTGCCATGCCAGGAATAAGTGCCCAAGGGTGAAGACTGAGATGGCTTGGTGAGTCAGGGGAGAACTGGGTTTGTTTCCTTCACCTAAGGGGCTCTCAGGCTAGTGAGAGAGACGACCTACTTCAGAAGCAGAGAACAGTCTTTGGCCCACCTGGCTGCAGGCTCATGGTTGGGGGTTAATGAAGTCTGACTGGCTGGTGGAGGTGATATAGAAAGCAGGGGAATTAGGAGAAGAGAGGGAACCCGTGACTTGGTTGCTCAGTCAAGTCCTGGCGGAAAATCCTGCCCATGAGCCATAAATCTTGGGATCTAGGATGCAGATTTGTGATATATCTGGGTGGTGTATGGCCCAAGCTCAGGGTCAGTCTTTGGGTTTAAAGAGTGGTAGGGCCTGGCAACTCTTTAGACAGGGATTGGACTCGACTGTGGGGTATAAAGTGATACTCATGAGGAGTGTGCCTCTTAGCTCAAGTAGATACAAGAGACTAAACGGCAGCTTCTGTCTGGAGGTGAGATGGGAAGGCAGAGGGGGTTAGGAGCTGGTTGAATGGACATGGGGAATCAGGGGTGGAAAGGAGGAGTGTGCTGTCACAGTATGGGGAGAGCAATTAGAGTCACATAACAATGTATGTATAAATGTTTGTATGGGAAAAAACTAAAAATAAAAGAAGTGGCGAGGGCCTGGGTCTCCTGTGGCCCAAGTCAGAGGCTCCATCCCAGGAAAAGCCCACCCCAGGTGGTGCTCACTGACTCTTGGGGACAGATAGGGTGTTCTGCAGTAGTATGAGGGTGATGGGGGAGGGTTCTGTGGGCAGGGCCAACAAGGTGGTAGAGGGAGGAGACAATACAATTATTGGACCTGGTGGTCTAGAAGGAGATTGGGGTCTGACACGTTACATATCAGTACAAATCCTGTTTAAAGGTTTGTAGCAGAACTGCCCTTGCTGAGAGTCCCCAGTTGTTTTACCAGGGCTAAAACCTGTTTTCTGGGCCCTGGGGGTGAAGATCCGCTGTGCCCTGGACCATCAGACCCTGTGAGGCCTGCAGAGCCCACCGGAGGAACAAGGAGACGTTATGGGCTCCACGTGGGACAGGCAGTTCACCAACAAAGCATCTTGGGAAAGAAAACCCCTATTATTTTCTTGTGCAGGAAGGGTTAGAGAGTTACTCCAGGGCCTAGATGCCCTGGGGGTAGAGGTGGATGTAGGAAAAAGAAAAGAGACTCTTTTCGAGCCTGCTCCTCCGAACCCCACATTATGTGAGAGTGAGGGAGACATACCTGTCTCTTTTTGTTTTTTTCAATTGTGCTTTAGGTGAAGGGTTACAGAACAAATATTTTCTCGTTAAACAGTCAGTACACATATTGTTTTATGACATTGGTTAACAACCGCATGACATGTCAACACGCTCCCTTCTCGGCCTTGGAGGACTTTTTTTTTTTTTTTGGTGAAAATATACATAGCCAAAGATACACCATTTCAAAAATTTCTACATGTACAATTCAGTGACGTCGATTACGTTCTTCCAGTTGTGCTGCTATTCTCACTTTAGATGAAGGTTTACAGAACAAAATAGTTTCTCATTAAACAATTAGTACACATATAGCCCTATGACAATGGCTAAGACATACCTGTCTCTTTTGCTGACTTTTGGGGCCTCCCTTTGAGACAAGGCCCTCATCTCTTCTCTCACATTTCTATCATGGTGCTGGGCACATAGTAGGTAATTTATTAAGACTTATTGATTGGTCATGAATTGGGCCTGTTCCCCTTATATACAGATGCCTTTACTTGAGCTCCTACTCTGTGCCAAGCCTTGTGCTAGGCACTCTACATACCTTCCCTTCACTTCTTACCACCACACTGCAGAGTGGGTGGCATTACCCCAATTTAAAGAGTGGTCAAGTCACTTTCCACCATTACTTAGCCATTAAGTGGCAGAGCTGGGATTCTTCTTACCATATCCTGTGGGCAAGGAGGCTTTGCCACTGCCAGCCTCACCTAGATTCTATCTTTGCCCCTCCTTTCTTACCACCTCACCTCTCAGGTTAGGGACCTGGGAGGTTCTGCCTGAAGACCAAGCACTCCAGTAGTCCCTCTGGCTGCCACTGCTGTCTCCTACTTCAGAAGTGCACTGTTTGGGGTTGGGGAGTGCCCTGAACCTTATGGGGACTCGGGTGACCTGTAAGGGCTCTCCCATTCCATTGAGTGACTGAGGTCACTGGTGCTGAGTAATTTATTTTTATTTTTTGCAATTCAACCATTTAAGTTTATTATTGTTTTAATATGGTTACAAATAGGATAGCCCCAAGGCTTTCAGAGCACTGTCTTCATTTAACTATGAATTGAACAAGATTGGTTATCTGGTTTCCTAAACGATAGCATATTTTTTAAGCTTTTTATTTTGAAATAATTAGATTCAAAAGAAAAGGTGCAAAAATACTAGGCACTCTACATACTTCCCCTCCAATGCTACCACCATACTGCAGGGTAGATGGCATTATCCCCAGGTGAAGGAGAAGTCAAATCACTTTCAACTGTCACATAACCATTAAGTGTTGGAGCCATCACCCAGCTTCCCCCAATGGTAATGTCTTATGTAACCATCGTACATTATCAAAACCAGGAGATTGATATTGGCACAGTTCAGTTAACTGGACTACAGACTTGAGTAGTTGATTTTTATTTTAAGGAGGTGGAGAGTGCTATTAAATAAGCCTGCCAACCAGTATTTAGGAAGGAAGTGGTGGCTCCATAATAGTCCCTGAGAAACTCCACTGCCAGTCCTGACCTATTGGCATTCATACCACCAACAAAAGGCTTGGTTGAACCTTGTTTTATATTACGGAATATTCCATAAAACTTCTATGTAAATTCAGCTCTTTGGGACAAAGCACATCTTCTTTTAGGTGTCCTAAGTAGTTTTCTATTTAAAAGAGACGTGTGC